ACTAAAAGGGTAATACTCTTTCAGCTTTTTTGTTTGAAAAATGTACAAAGATATTTGTTAAAACAACACAGTCTCACACCCAAGGCGTCATGATGCGTGTGACCAAGCCTCAATATATGACGATTCGGGATGCCCCAGCATGTCAGGAGACAACGATCAGGGACAAACAGCTGACGCAGCATCCCAGAGCGTCGGTGTCCAACGCCGGTGGTGAGACAGACATTAGAACTACTTGTGAACTACTTAACCTTTCCCTCACCCCAATCCCAACCTTAAGGTCACAGTTTATGAACCTTAAGGTTAGGATTGGGGTGAGGGGAAGGTTAAATAGTCGAATAATGTCCGTGTGACTGTGTGTGTCAAACAGTGACGCCAGCGGAGCCACGTGACCCAGCATGTCCCTGATCGTCGTCTCCTGACGCGCCCCGAATTGACGCCTTGGGTGTGAGAATGTGTTGGTTTAAATGGAGAGAGAAACAAATCTGGGGTAGAGCAGATATTTCCCCAATGAGATTCTGGACCAAGAATAATTTGGACCAGGACTCGGCTAAAGACGATCTAGAGGCTACTTGTAGCCTGTTTGAGGCTGTAGCCTCAACTGATCACTTCTTTTAAAATCTGGCTTTCATAAACAGCATTCAACAAAATAGACTTTGCCCAAAGTTTCCAGCGACATGAAGGTAGCAGACAACGGTCTTTATATTGTCAGATCTTTCTGCAGCTTTTGACACTGTTGATACAGCACCTTTATTAACTAACTTTGTGACTCGATGAGGATCTGTTCTAGATTGGTTCAGATCTTTCCTTTCAAACAAAGGTTTCAGTGTCTGTATAAACCAAATCATGTGTAACGTGATGAAGGAGCTATTCCACCGAAGGTTATTCACCCTCTCTCCTCAGGAAGAACTAATCTGCATGAGACTGCCTCAAGGTCATGCATTTGCTTCTAAAACGGTTTCCTTTCCAGCTCAAGAGAAGAAAGAAGACGAACTCTTTCTATTTTTAATTAAGCTAATCAAAGTGTTAGTCAATAATAAGATGTGAACCAATCTGTGAAATGAAAATGTTGTGATCAGTTTTAATAAGTAATATGACTTTAATCTAGCTCCACTAGACATACTGATTCACGTAAGGCTTAAAGTCACATGACACATTTATCTTTCTCATCCAATTGGAACCTTCCTTTCTGAAGAGTGGCATAGTCTCTGTGGTGTTAATAAATCTGTCAAACTTTGATTCGACCGTAAATCAAAACATCCAGATTAATAAAACCAGTCCCACGCCATCTTAGTTCAGTTCACCGCATTCTAAGAGAAGTATCGGACCGACCACACGGACTTCCTTTTTAAGCAAAGAACCGACAAGCTGGATAAAATCTGTTGCACTTTACCAACCAAGCAACGGTTCCTTTCAGAATAAAAGCTGAACTCACTGACCTTCCGGGTCCATCTGACGCCATCAACCAACTGTTGTTTTTACCTGGAGACAATCCAGAGACTAGTCTGTCGTACTGCTGACGCTGTTTCATCAGCTCCGGTACCGAAAGGGGGGTCCGAGGACCTGGCATTCTGGATCTGTACGAAGGTCTCATCCTAAGGGTATGTGTGGAGCGACAAAATGGCGTCTCGTGTTTATGAAACTCCGATCATAGCTTAAGAGCAAAACATCACAACATCATTCAGACTTGCTTCTCCGGATACGAGAGTTCTGATGACAAACATCACTCACACATTCATCTCACGTCTCATTCACACCAAGATCCATTCATCACTTAGAGTTTAGTCAGTCTTGTTTAAAATTGTTAGAAATAAATAATCTTAAACATTTTAAAGGTGACTCTCTCTTCTCTTGTCTCTCAGTTAATATATCACAACATGCCCTATAGGTTATAAATTGTAAGTCGCTTTGGATAAAAGCATCTGCTAAATAAATAAATAAACATAATATGAGGTGTTACATAATCCCTGCAACAAAAAGTCCCAATCATCTGGTTAAAAGTACCTAAAAATCCATAAGATTGATTTCATATTTTCTATGAAATCTCATATCTTATGGCTCATTAAATAGATGTAAATTAAACCATTACACATGTCAGATTCTACTGATCTGTTTTGTGGGGTACCCCAAGGCTCTGCTTTGTGTTTACTCCTGTTTCTACTATATGTACACCCTTTTTGACAGATAATTTATAATTTTCATGTCTCCAATCACCTATATGCATGTGACATTCAGCTGTACTACCCGTTTAAGGATTCTGAGTTCTATAAACTGTGAGTTACAAGAGTGTCTATCAGCTATCACCAGCTGGCTAGAAGATAACTTCCTTCAGTTAAACTGAGAATATAGATTGTTTGATCATTGCCCCTGAGAGCATGGTTCCTCTGATTATTCAACAACTTGGTCATTAATCCTCTGCCATTAAGTCAAACTTGAGGAATTTGGGTGTTGTTTTTGACCAATCAATGTCTCTTGAATGCCACTCAAAAACATTGGTCCGGAACTATCCATGCCTTTATCCCGTCTAGATTACTGTAAAACACTCTTCACATGTTTTAACAAAAATGCCGTTGAACGCCTTCAGTTGGTCCAGAACTCTGCAGCGAGGCTCCTAACTGGAGCAAACAGAAGAGCACACATCACTCCTGTTCTGATGTCTCTGCACTGGTTTCCCGTTAACTTTAGAATCCTGACTATAACTTTCAATGCACTACATGGTCAAGCTCCTCCCTATATTACTGAACTGTTAAAGCCTTATGCTCCAACCCGAGCCCTCAGGTCCACCAGAACCTTCTAGAAGTTCCAAAGACCAGATATAAAAGCTGAGGTGATCGCTCATTCCAGACTGTTGCACCCCGACTTTGGAATGATCTTCCTTTATCCTTACGCAGTGTTGACAGTCTGGACACCTTCATAAGACAGCTGAAGACCCTTTCATTTAAAGCTTTTACCTAAATCTTGTGTGGGTTTTTTTAATCCGTAAAATGTTTTTTTAAACTATCTTTCATTTGTTGTATAACACTTTTGTCATTTGAATCATGATCCTTTTATGACTTTATGACTTGTTTTGTTGTTCTGTGAGAAGCCCTTTTACTTTCTGTGATAAGTCCTACATGAATAAACGTTACTTACTTACTTTACATTCAGGCTGCACATTTTTACAAGTCCACCTAAAAGGAACAGACAGGTCTAAAACTAATCTGAAAACACAAAGTGACTCAGTAACTGTTTTCTTTGATATTTGTGATTCCTTGAGTGAATTAGCATTTATTTACTTTATTTTTTTCTGCCTGATGACACAGAAATACTCTAAAAAGCATCTGCTTGTAACACTATGAGTTAATAAAACACAATTTTTAATAGCAGATTATATGATCAATGTTCACAAACCTGATAAAACCTTTGCTTGTTTATCCATCATTTGCAAGTGTTTTTCTTGTCTTGTTTTTACCCTGAGTCTAAATGCTGACAGTGTTTGTCCTGAGGACGTTTATATTTCAGATCACCATTGCAGTTTCTTTAACTTGTCAGTTTCTGCGTCCCCACCTCCTGCTCGCCGTATGGTTAGTTCTCGTTTTCTTAATGAGAGCACAGCTAGCAATTTTTTCTGCTGCTTTTGATCCACCCTGTTCTTCTGATAACGACCCAGATTCCTTAACTTCTCAGTTTAACGAGCACTGCCTCTCCATTCTGGACAACATCTGTCCTGTCAGAACCAGATCAGTTCCTGCAGTGAACCCTACTCCCTGGTTTAATGACAGCCTTCACAGCCTGAAGTGCCAATGCAGAAAAATTGAGCATTTGTGGAAGAAAACCCATCTCCACGTCCATCTGCTTCACCTAAAGGATCTTCTGTCATCCTTTAACTCTGCAGTCAGAGACGCCAGGGTTTCCTATTTCTCCAACCTGGTGTCCCAGAGCAAAGGGAACCCCAAGGTGCTGTTTACCACCATCAGCAGCATCGTCTCTCCTGCCTCTCCTACAGCCTCCATCCACTCTGTTGCAGACTGTGAGAACTTTCTGTCTTTCTTTGTGGACAAAGTCAATAAGGTTAGATCTAGCATCTCTCCTTCAGCCTTATCGCCGCCTCTCCCGACTCCAACCAGGCCCATCATCCTAGATAGCTTTGCTCCTGTTTCTTTGCCTGAGTTAACCAAACTAGTTAACTCTATGAAGACCTCTGCATGCCCCCTCCACATCTTACCCTCATCTTTGTTTAAAAGTGCTTTTCAGTCCATCGGTCCCAGCGTGCTCTCTATAATTAATGCTTCTCTGGTCTCTGGTCAGGTCCCTGCTTACTTTAAGAACGCTGTAATCCACCTGCTTCTTAAAAAACTGAGTCTGGACCCCTCTCTCCATAGCAGCTTCAGACCCATCTCTACACTTCCGTTCATCTCCAAGATCTTGGAAAAGGTTGTGGCTAAACAACTCACAGCTGCTCTTGATGAACGTAACATCTATGATAGCTTCCAGTCAGGTTTTCGTAGAGCTCATTCTACTGAAACAGCTCTTCTTAGGGTCTCTAATGATCTTCTGACTCACAGTGATGCAGGGGACTGCTCTGTTCTGGTCCTGCTGGACCTGACTGCAGACTTTGACACTGTTGAACATCACCTGCTACTGGAGAGGCTGAGAGACTGGGTAGGCCTATCAGGATCTGCTCTGGAGTGGTTCTCCTTATCTTTCTGAGCGCTCCTTTTCTGTGGCCGTCTCCAAGTTTAGGTCTTCCACCACTTCTCTTACCCATGGTGTCCCACAAGGCTCTGTGCTGGGGCCTCTGTTCTTCCTCCTCTTTCTGCTTCCTCTTCAGCACATCCTGAGCTCCTTCAAATGAATCTCCTACCATCTTTATGCAGATGACATCCAACTGTACATCTGCTTTAAGCCCCATGAGATGTCTAAGCTGCAGCTGTTACACACCTGCTTAGACTCTATCAAAACCTGGATGGCTGGGAGCTTTCTTCAGCTGAATGAAGATAAGACTGAGATCCTCATCTGTGCCCCAGACAAGCTGGTTCCCAAAGTCTTGGTGTGACCTTTGACCCAGCTCTCACCCTGGATTCTCATGTCAGTTCTCTTGTTCGCTCTTCCTTCTTCCATCTCAGGAACATTGCTAAGCTGAGTCCCATTCTGTCTCGCTCTGAACTTGAGACAGTTATCCACACCTTCATCTCCTCACGCTTAGACTACTGTAACTCTCTTTTCACGTGTCTGAGCAGAGCCTCCCTGAACCGTCTACAGGTGGTTCAGAACGCCTGTGCTCGGCTTCTGACCAAGTCCTCCAAACACACCCACATCACCCCGCTTCTCCTCCAGCTTCACTGGCTGCCAGTCAACTTCAGGGTTCATTTCAAGATCCTGGTTCTGGTCTATAGGGCCTTACATGGACAAGCACCATCTTACATTGGTGATCTTCTTAGTCCCTACACCCCCAGCAGGTCCCTGAGGTCCAGTGATCAAAGCCTACTGGTTGTGCAGCACCAGGCTAAAGACCAAAGGTGACAGATCATTTGCTGCTGTGGCCCCCAGACTCTGGAACTCTCTCCCCCTGAGCCTGAGATCAGTGGACTCAGTGGTCTCCTTTAAAAAGCAGCTGAAGACTCACTTGTTCAAGCTGGCTTTTGTATGACCTTCTTCACCACTCTCTTTATTCTGCTCTCCCCACCTATTCCATCTTCCTCAGGATCCACTGATTTCCCTCTTTCCTATTCACTCTCTCTCTTTCTTAACATTTTTTAATCACAATTGTCTATTTTTTGCTCATTTTAAATATATTTTAATCATTTTCTAAATTATTTTTTATATTTTTACATTTTTTGTTTTTGTGAAGCGCCTCGTGATTTTTATCTTGAGAGGCGCTATAGAAATGACTTCTTCTTCTTCTTCTTCTTCTTCTTCTTCTTCAGTGTAATCCATATGTACGTTGATTATTTGGTGCGTTGTTGTCCAGATTGTTGAAAAGGGTGTGAGGATGGTTCAGGCACTGAGCAGGTATCCTCTTCTAGGCTCGATCCATTTATTTGTGTGTCCTTAAAGGTTAAAGAACCAAGTAACAGTGTGTCCGGTACATATTTTATTTGTGCTCTGTTGAATACGTTCAAACTCAGTCTTCTTTTTAAAATCTGATTGAATCGTCTTTAGGCTTTTTTTCACGTGTTGCTCTTGCTTCTGTTTCCATGATAAACGAGTAACACGTGAAACTCTCTATTTAGACTAAATAGTGGCAGAAGAAGCACTTTATTAAAATGCCACAGAAGTGACAGATGAACTAAAGACGAGACACTCTTGACAGGGTAGTTGTCATTACTCACTGGCTTCCTCCTTTGAAATCTCAAGCATCAGAAGTCATGCTGGATTCGTGGCTTCTCTGTGAGCTGTAGTTTCTGAGGTGGTGACTTGGGGCCGCTTCCATTCTCTGTGTTACTCACATTTGTGTCTGTCCCCGGGGCTCTTCGTCTAAAGAGCCTGGGCCGAAGAGGCAGGCAGGCCAAGCGCAGTATGCCGGGGTTAGCCCTGCCCTGGAGAAATCTTCCCAGCGACCTGATTTTCTTTCCCATATTCCCAAGATTGCATCCTCATTTTCACCTGATCCTTGGTTGGAGCCATTTTGTGGTGAAAAACTGCTGCAACATCACAAGATGTAAAAGTTCAGCTACTGCAGAGGCACAGCAGCCTCTGTTTCAGTCCCTGGCAGTGATGTGTTCTCCTGGAATCAGTTTCATTGTTAAATCTGGCAGATAATAGCCTCCATTAGTAGGAATTATGTGTAGCGTCTGAGTGATCTGATTGCAACCTTTATCATCAAACTGCACATCTTCAATATCACTGTAATAGCAGAGCATTGAGGAGGGTCTCTCCTAACAGCTTGCCATATTCATCTCACAGCGATCTGAATTAATATTAGTGATTGATCCCCCAGTCACGTTCAGCCCCATCTTTTCATTCCAGCATCTGGATTTAATTGGTGCTCCGCCGTAAAGCTACAGCTGCTCTGCCTGTTAGGACAATAAATTACTCCAATTAGGAGCTGAACAAAAGAGGCTGTCTGACACCACAGCCCACTGCCATGCCTCCGGATTGGAGCGCGGTGGAATGAGGCCGCGCTATAACACCTGCCCCTTCATTTGTCCGATCAAAATGCTGCTGCAGTCCAGCAAATATGTGCCGCACAAACAGATTGCTTTGCCTGGATTGCATCCCTATGTATCCTCAGTCCCGGGGGCTGCTAGTATATAAATTAAAAAGAAAATTTGTCAGTGTTGGCAATCAATACCTGGTACATTGCGTAATTGCTGGGTGGATGATTAATTGGTGTTTGCATCATGAGTTGTGGATACATCTAGGTTTTCTGGCAGCCGCCTGCCATATCGATGGCACTGGTAATGAAGGCAATAATGAGGGACGTTTCAGGAGGATGTGGAATGGAAGGAACGAGAGGAACATCTGTGCTTCTCTATAGTTAGAGTGTAATTGAGACCATATTTCATGTTGCTCTGTGAAAGCTAGCCTCGCTATACTCGCTGTCGACTTTCCAGGAAGAAGAGGCATTTTATCTGTCGCTGTAATGCACCCAGCAGCTTCAGCGACACAGGTGGTCCACCGCTGTGAAGAATGTGGGCCGGCAGCCTCCGTCGTGGTCGGCCCGGCCGTGCCATCCCTTGGTTTCACCACTTGCTGTGAGCACGCCATTAAGCCAGACGATGTTTGACAAGAAAAATGAAGAGCGCCATTTCCTGTGGCCTCGAGTGTCTTTCTGAATAATGAGCGGATTGCCTGGACCCTGCTCTGTCTCTTCTCCCCACTCCACCATACGTTTAGGTTATTCCCAGTAAATTCCACACGAGGCTGGGAGACTGGAGTGGTCTTTGTTGTTTTATTTCTCTGGTTGAAAAAGGGTGGGAAACCTCTGTAGGAAGATTTGATGAATGAAGTCGGGTTTTAGAGATGTCCCAATTATCAAGGACAGGAAAATACCAATGTCACCGCAAAGCACAGCATGTAAGATATAAACAAAAGGTCTGATAGGAGCTTCTTATTTATCCCATAAAGTAAAACATAAATCCTAAAACTTTCTGTGTCACGCATCGGGCTGACACCCAAAGCCCAAAAGTAAAGTCAGCAGTGATCTTATCTGAGTGCATGCATCAGTAGAGTAGGACGTACTGAGGCTTCAACAGCTCAGTAAAGGACTAAAGCTGACTTCAACAGGTAGGGAGACATCTCAGTCACATGTTTTCACCCTTGTGTCTTCTTAGCATCGCGTTGATACTCATCTCTTCTCTTTTGACTCCTCTAAAGTGTGCTGTTAGCTCCGGCAGTTAGTGGGGAACTTGGTAACTCAACAAAGTGTTTGAATTTGACTGTTTTGAATGTAACTTCATCGCTCCTGCAATGAAAATACACGAAATGCAACCACTGCAAGTTGTGAGCTCAGATTTTTGTAGGAAAATGTTTCCATGCCACTGACATTCTAGAATTTTATTGCACGGTTGGGTCAACACCATTTGCTGCATAAAGATCTGATGCCTTTTAAGGACAAACATGTGCGACTGGCATTTTAAAAATGATTCTTTCCTGTGTGGAACGTGGGAGAACAGAACATTCTGTGCAGTTTTAGAGGATTTCTCGTTAAGTGAAAGAATCATGTGATGTTGCAAACAGCTGCAGTGTCCAGAGCCATATTTGCTGGCAGTAGGTATGTGATGGCATGTACTCATAATGAATCTCCCTGGTACAGACGTTGGGTGGTAGAGGAACTGTAGGAAGATAAAAATGATTTAAAACATTCCACGATAAGACACGCCTGTTTCTTCTACATTAGCAGATTGAAGGTCCCATGATTTGTGCCAGTGAGAGGTGTATGGAAAGTCCAAAGGGTCATAATCTGTACTCTTTGAAACATTCTGTGGGAACTAATAAACACACTGAAAGATGATACCAAGCATTTTGTCCGTCATGCCTGTTGTTTTTAAGCCATCTGCATTTATTTATTTTTCCTGTTGCACTGACTCGTAATGAGCCGTGAACTCAAAACCAAGGCAGGTGCTGAATAATGATCCAGGCTTACGTTTACCTCTCCTGGCGGTGATTTATCGTGTTTATAATTCTAAACACATCAAAGAGCTCCTCAGCACAAGTGGACATTGACCTCCTTCAACAAGCCATTGAAAAGAGAAAGGGAGGTCTGGTGCTACCTCTTCACCCAGACTTTGTTTTCATCCTCGAACAAAGCAAAACATACAGGCCTGACATGGCTGACCACCTCTCAAAGAGCCGTGGTCCTGACTGGATGGATCTCCCTGATTATTATGGCAGACGTCTGATGGTAATGGGAGGAAGGTCTGCACGGCAGCGATAGCACCACAGCATCGGAGAGCCTATTACCCACCGCTGTGGTGGCAGTAATGGTGAGACAGGCCGTCCTATCCATTATGGTGATGATGCATTTTGAACGGGTAGAGCCGTTATATATCAGTGGATGATAATGGTGGGAAAGAGCTTCCTCTGGGGTATGGTCATAATGCAGAGAAAGGGGTGAGAAGGTCCATCCAGAAATCCTGAGCACAGCGTGCCCATGTGGGTATGTGGTGATGAATTAAGGGGAGTGGCGAGGCTTTCTCTCTCTCTCTGTGTTACAACAACAGAGGGCCAGCCCGCGTGCTCAGTGCACTCGAGGAGAGGGAGACAATGTGGAGTGCACATGTGCACATGACAAACAAGAGGCATGCAGCAGAAAGGGAGTCTTAGTTAGCTGTCTGCCTGGCGCTTCGCCACCCCTGTGATGTATGTTTATGGCCCATCATCTCCAGCCAATTACCTTGCCTCAGTGTAGGAGCAGAGTGCCTTCTCATCACAGCCATCAGTGTGTGAGCACGGAGACAGACAGAGACAGTTTCCGGACATCCTTGGCAAAGCGCTCTTCTCCTCAGGTGGCTCTGGAGATTCATCCTAAACAGTAAGCCACTGGATAGCACCGTCTGCTGAGTCTACAGCTGCTCTGAATTCAAAGCTTTTTCATTGTCTTTGTGTGGAAGCCTTTGCGTGTCTGAAGATGTGAATGAGTACCTGTGCAAACTTTTTAGATTTCCCCGTTTGTGTTGTCACCATTTTGAGCCTCCTGGATCCCTCAGACTGATGTGTGCTTACGGTTAGATGTTGTGAAAGATGTGTGATCCTGAAACACTGGGAAGTGAACAGCTGTGGAGTAACCTCGGCTCACTCCTGTTCCTTTCTCTGCCAGGTACAGCCGAAGCAGATGTGTTTGTGTGTCCCATTCATGCCAACCCACAGACGCTCTCCATCTAAGTTTCACAAGGTAATCTTTACCTTTTTCTCTTCTTTTTTTTTTTCAAATGTGCTTTCTCGTACTTCAGAGCAGCTGTCTTCATTTGCTTTTCCAAAAGAAATGTTCCCTCGCAGAGAAGCGACTTCATGAAAGGTAAATAGCATCAAACTAACGGCTCAGCTGCAATGGAGACTAATTTGCTTTTAGCAGGGAGTTGTTTGTAACCCTCTCAGCACTGAGAGGAGCGGGCTCATTTCAGGTAACGCTTCACAGTTTCTCTAAAACCAAGACAAGACATGCTTTTATCTACATGCATCATTTTAGGGTTTCCTTTTGAGCTCTCACTGTGTGGCTCTTTGAAACAGCCAAGCTGTGTTTGTTTTGGCTCGAGGATGGTCTGCTCTTGCCCAGAGGGTTCATCAGAGAGAGAAAATATTGACCGCCAACAGTTGCACTTTGGTGGCGTTATTGCTTTTCACACTCGTGCAATTCGGACAGCAGTCGCCAAAGCACAGCGACTGCAAGCCCGCAGCCATATTGACGTGCGCATTGCTTTTCTGTGTGCAGGGCTGCATATCAACTGCTCACAGTGTTTACTTTTTAGTTTATTTCATCAGAGTGCCTTTTGCCGACAAAACTGTTTAAAAGCGCTGGAACATGATGAAGGGGGAAAGAAAATGCTTTCTGTTTAGGTGAGACGCAAAACCCAAAGGAGCTCCAGAGTTTCCCTCTAAATTGAGGCTACAAAACAAACTGGCAGAGCAGCTGCTGAATGTGTGTGTGTGTGCGTGCATGCGTGTGTGCGTGCGTGTGTGTGTGTGTGTTGTATGCATGTGTATGTATGTGAGTGGATGGTACGTGTGTGCGTGTGTGCATGCATGCGTGTGTGTGAGTGTAAGTGGGTACGTGCGTGTGTATGTGCATGCATGTGTTGTACGTGTGCATTCGTGGTTGTGTGTGTGAGCATGGGTATGTGCGCGTGTGTATGTTTATGCACGTGCATGTGTGTGCGTGTGTGTGTGTGTGTGTGTGTGTGTGTTAGCTTAGACGCTGCTGCATTACTTTCTCCAAATTAGCTCATTTTATTATTAGCGTGCAGAGGAAGGCAGTTCAGTGTTTATTTACATGTCTGGAGAGGCAATAAGCAGGGGCAGCTTCATTAATACTTTATCCAGTAGTTTGATTTTATAATATTTTATAATAGTATGAAAGAGTGAAATTTAGTTTTGGTTTACGTCAATATTAAGTTTGTGTTAATGTTTCCAGTATGGCTTTAGAAAAAGTTCAATGTGGAATATTTAATGAAGCTTTTAAAACACATTCATGATGTTCAGTGCTTTTAGAGTGATGCTTTGAGTTTATATATGATTCTAGTTTTCTAGTTTAGTTCTTCTCAGCTGAACCTGTTCCTGTTTTCATTCATTATCTGCTCATCTTGAATGAAAACATGCTAAATTGGGCTGTTTCCGTTTGACTTCTCTGCAGCATTGTGAAGTGGTGCACTCCACTGAATGAGACATTTGACATTCTTGAGCAGCAGGGACTCGAAACAGTTTAAATCAAGGTGATCCTCCTCATTCTCATCTATTGAAATGGCATGCCGATGTGGGAGGACATTAAAGATTCATGCAAACAGCTGTTTTGCTCTGCAGGACAGCGTGGCACATGCATGGCTGTGGGCTAGGATTTCAAATCAGGGCTTTTCGTAGGAGCACAGCTCTCCAGAATATTGGAAAAACCTGAGACGACTTGCTCTCATACTCGCCTTAACAAGAGGCGTGGGCCGGTTTCAGGGTATCTGTGAAGGAATACAAATGAAGGTGTCAGTTAGCATGGTATACATTAGTTATATAAGTTGATAGGTTTATTCTCAGACAGCACCACCTCAGTGTGAAGGGAGAAATGTGACCAAGGCAGGAGACTTGGTGGTCCGACCCCTGGTCTTTAAAACAGGCAGTTGTAGCATAGTCATCCCCATGACTTCAGAAATAATGGTCAAACCCTCCGTGATGTCACCTGTAGGTGTCTTAAGGGCTGAGTTGAATCTCAGTGGGCGGTTTTGCCGTTAATCCCACCTACAAGCTAACTAAGCTAACTAAGCTAACTGAAGCTAATGGAGGTTTTTAGGTACTTTTAGCCGTTAAAACACAGTTGAGCCACTCAAACATGAAGCTGCAGAGTTTCTGGTCTCCCTCAGAGAGCTCCACAGACGACAAAAACAAACTCAGGCTGCCGCGATTGGACCCGGGCACCAAGGCCGCGTGAGCTTTTACTCTCAGCCCCTCCGCAGCTGTTGGTGTTCCACGGGGTAATGTGGCGGAGCCAGCTCCAACCCAGGGAGATGATACCAAGTCTGGGTCCCCTGCCCTACCAACACATAATATTTCAGCCAATTTTGACCAAGCAGCATTATGCATTTTCCCACATCCAACCAGCAAAATAAAGTCCAGAAATATAATTGTACTTAGTGATAAAATTAAGCAAAGACTATTAGTTAGTATAATCAATGCCACAGCTTGCCCTCTTTGGCCAGTAATGCCACAACTAACATCCAAACACGAACACAAAGGACACAAAAAGAGTTCAGAGAATCAAAATGGCCGAACACTTTTAGCGTGATGCAGAGGCCTTCCCCAAAGCTAGCTGCTAGCACTAGCTCAGACGCTCATGCTACTTGTCAAACAAATTTAATAATTTATGATTCCAATCAATCAAATCAAATCAAATCGCTTTTATTGTCACGTACACTGGTACAGTACATGTGAGTGAAATTCTTGTGTGCGAGCTTCACAGCAATCAATCAAAGCTTTATTTAAAGCGCCTTCCGCAACCCTGTCAGGAAGCCCAAGGCGCTGAACATGGTACAGTAGAAGTACAAATATAGTGAATAAATCAAAAATAAAAGCAATTCAAATTACAAATTACAAAAGTTAAAAACCAATTTACCCCCCTCAGAGTTGTCAAGACTGTAAACTAGATCTTTTAAACCTAAAATGTTTTGTACCAGGCTGTAAACATGTTTATTTCTGCCATTTATGGAAAGTAATTAGGATTTGCTCCCTTCTGGTTCCAGCCCCTAGTGGATGAGGCTGGAACAGCTGTTTTGTCACTTCCTGGTTGGCTTCACACATTTCAGACAAAGCACCCCTTGGGAATACCCATGTTGAAGCAGCAGTGATAGTGGTACTTGTATTATGCTTTTAAACAGAAGTAAATGTGTGTTGTGATGCTTTCCTTACTATTTTTGATGCAGTACCGTGAACGGTGGTATTTCTGGTTTGGGAACTGGTCTCAATAATAACATGATGATGCCCCCCCCCCCCCCCCCCCCCAGCTCCAGAACTATTCAACCTCCTTTCCTCAGACAGAAGGCTGACCCAGATAACATGGCTGAGGAACAGCATCTTCTCTTAGGCTGTGAGGCTCATGACCTCTGACCTTTAAGCTGTCCTTTGTATGCTTTTCAATAACATAGGGTAGATGTCATTTGACTTTATTATTTATTTCTTTAGGCGAGACTGGGGAGCATTGTTTTTCGTCTTTAACGTTCTGCTGGATTTCATCTTCTTTTTTTGCCTTATAGTCCTCATTAAGGTACATCATGTAATAAAGTGAGTCTGGTACCAGAGTGAGCCATGCTAGGAGGAAAAGAATGAGTTGATATAGGTCAAATTAGTCATTTCCATACAACACTTTGTTTGACATTTGCCCGCTTGTTGAATTGTAAAGCAGCAACTCGTGGAAGCCTTGAGAGAAAGGCGTGCATGCATTCCAGCTGACATTTTTAGGTTGTTTTTCAATAGATGCAGCGATAATGTATGATATTTGCAGACAGCCGTGCAGCCACCGAGAGCGAATGCTGAGTTATGAGTGTTTGGGCATTAGACTCAAATGGTATTCACAGCGAACGTGTTACTACCATCATTCGCTTCCCCTCTTGAGCCCTCCTTCGCCTTGACTCCCGTGTTTATGCTGACATTTGTTCTGTCTCGTTTGCACCGGCGCTCTCATGTATCCCGATTCGCTCATTCCTCCTCTGTCCCTGAGTTGAGGGAAACTCAAGCAGTGTCGCCAGAGAAAATCAGGCCTTCATCTTACCTGCATCTGTGAAACACAACGCAGACGTGTGTGTGAGAGCAGTTGTCTCCATCAGCAGCAGAAACACATGAAATGACCTATAAGAATGTAACAGGATAGCATTCTGCCGTCCTCTGAGAAAGGCCAAGACCTCCCGACAGGAGCGGGGCGGAGACCGTTTGAATGGTAATGTGACAGGTTGATTGCCAATTTACAGCCCACACAAAGGGCTGTGCCTGATCCAATCACAGCGCAGCGACGTGGGAGCAAACAGCTCCAGCCAAACACTTTTTCCCCTTTCATTGTCAAAATTGCATTCTCAGCCACAGTGCCTGGAAATAAATGATTGAAAATGCCAGTTAAAAAAACACAGTTTCCACCCATCAGCACAAAGTCGTGCTTGTCTTAAAGCCACCTCACTTCAAAACAATGCAGAGGCAAGGTATGCCTGCCGGCTAGCGCCGTAATAAGCAGATGATCTCCTCTGAAATAACAGCTGGTCGTGTTTTTTCCTGACAGCGAGCTTCCATCTCTGCCCGTCACTTTGTTCATCAGCAGCTGTTTGCCATTGCTCACCGTCTCTGTCGGCGTGCTGCTTTTCAGTGGTACTCATCAGTGGCATCGTAACACAACCGTAAACAACGTACCATAAACCTTTATTGTCAAATTAACAGTGAGTCGCACAGTTTATTTAGTAGAAGTTATACGTGTAAAAGTTATAAGAATATTAGTATTTGTTCACTTATCAAATATAATCGACTTTAACCCTTTGATGCATGAATTATGAAATCTTCAACCATGATTTTTTAAACAATTTTTTTCATTCATCTTTAGGTGTGAATGAAACAAATTTCAACAATTTTTTTGGGTAAAAGTTTATAATTTACAAATAGTTTATTACATGTCCATCTCAGTGGACAGCGTGCATTCTGAACATGAAATATGTTGGCTTG